GTACGCTTTGGTGAACGGTATGTAAATTAAGTGGGAGGAGTCTGTACGCTTTAGTTTATGATTAGCTACTTAATAAAGTTGTTTACCGTAAGTTTTGGGAGATAGGACGATACTTTTTTCTCAGAACCGCTGGGGTCGTCCTATTTAACAAATCGACCTATCTAAGGCCCAAGTTTACAAAAAATGCCCCCAAATCAGTAAAATTTACGTCAATTTTAAAGCAAATCTGTGCCACTTTTGTATTTTTTAAAATTACTTTACCGAGAAAAAATAATAAACAATAAAGAATTAAATATTTATTCTATTGATTTCTTACAAAATAAGTTCCATTAATAAAATATCCGTCGATGTACAAAAAAAATTATTATATCATCAATAATGTCTCAAAGTATATTTACAACATGCTGTGTCCATCCTGTGAAGTTGGAAGTCGCAATCGTTTACTAAAAATAAAACCACAACCGTATCAAAGTTTAAAATACGGAGGAGTTTTCACAATCGCAATTTTAATTTTTTTTTTACCATTTATTTGTAGCGATTAATTGAAATAGTATACCTAAATATTTTTTCATTGTCTTGTGATATTTATTTAAATGTAAAATGTGTGAAATAAATTGTTGCCAGTAAATTCCTCAAATTATTTACCAAATATACCGCTAGTCATAACTATTTTGTTTTATATCCCAAGGGGTACACCGAATTATACAAAGATTGGCTTCTAATAGAATTTTAATTGTCTGACAGATAGAGGATATACACTGTGAACACAAATGTGATAACACCTGTTGGTTTAAACATGTGGGGCATGATTAACAGATCCACGTGCCGTTACAGGGGTATTAGTGCTATACATCATTGAACAAACAAAACTGTGAAATTCCTGATGACTGTTAAATTGCGAATGTACTCTCAATTAAATTTATTTTTTACAACAATATCTCAAGCAAAATTATAGCATGTTAATATGATTAATTTCAATTGCTCACTGTTACATGTAATAGTCATTTGCGTGTTTTAGCAAATCCCTGGACAAGAAATATAAAAATGGCGGTCATCGTACTTAATACTGTACCCCGGTAAATAATGTCGGAATAAAAGAATGTGTCCACAATGTTCTAAAATGGAAATGATTATTGTTTGATTTCGGGTATTTCCCTAATTATAGCTGTTGTATACTACCTTTTTATGTGTTTCACGACGGAGTCAAACTACGACGGCAATGAACAGGCAAGTTTGAGAAAATACGTTATATCACAAATCAAGGAAGTTTTAACTATGTTTGTATAAAACACTATTAAAATGCTGTACTCATAAAAATACTAGTTTATTTTCTCAATATGTTAATATCACGGGTTAAGTTAAAGAGGTTTACATGTTCTGATACGTAGTTTCTACATAAGAATCTCTAGAAATCGATAAACAAAGCCTCGTCCTATCTTCCAAATCGTCCTATCTAAGGATTTTTTAAAAATTACTGCTGAAAATGAGCCTTTCGACCTATATACCCCATCAACATATACCCCAAAACTTAAGGTGTTTCTTTATTATAATCTCTTTATTTGATATGAATGGAAGGAAGGTGTTGCAAGCATTTTGTAATAAGCTGTTATAAATATTTCCGTTTTACAGCTGTATTTACGTTATTACATGCAACTAGTCGTCTTATTAACGTTTTTAATTTACTTTCTGTATGAATCTGTTTAATCTACTTTCAATTTTTAAAATAAAATAATTTTAGTTGTCCATTCATTATCTTATTTTGTACACCATCGCCTTATGGTTCAATAACTTGGAAATAAATCGAACATATCAACAAACACTGTATAACAAGGATGAAAAAAAAATATTGGCTGCCTCGCCATTAAGGCCTATCTCTATTTCTAAAGAATAGGTGTAACATATTTTTTTCCTTTTAATTTTCCTAATTGAATACAATTATTATTTTAAATATTCACTTATCACACTTTTAAACAAATTAGTTTGATTTTATAAATCCATCATGCTTTCATTTTGTCTACCATTCTTTTTACGTTTTTGTCGCTGTTGCTTCATAAAAAAAAACAACAACAACAACAAATCTCTTAACCGAATGATCAAACAAACAATAAAAAAATAAGTTATTACCTTCATTTTTATTTGCGAGGAATTATAATAATTTTTTTTTCACATAGATTCCACATAGGTGTTTGGCTCACTGGAAAAATACGAAAAGTTATCGGTAGAAGTTCACACAGTTAGTGCAAAATATTTATTTTTTGTGCGCGTAATTGTTTTCCGTTTAAAATAAATTTTCCATCAATGTCTAAAAATGCTTTTTGAAGGAAAGTTGCAATCAAGAAAACGGTTAAGACAGCTATAATTCTATCTACAATGTATAAATGTATATATTAGGCCATCATTAAAAATATCTTTGTTTCCACTACCCCGACCCTAAAATCTCAAGTTGGGTAGGTAGGTAGGTAAATATTTTTTTTTTTTCTGACAGCAGCTATGAAAATACATTTTGAAATTTAATGGAATAATACCTTTATAAATAAGAAAAGTACAAAAGAAAGCAATTTGTAAACAGAATTTCATACAAACGGCATTTAAAAGCAAAATATAAGGTAAATTAATTTACAACTATTGTTCAATTGAACTTGTAAAATATCTGATGCCAGTGTAAATTTATTGAAATCGAATATTTAAAAGACAAGATTCTTGGGTACGCAAGGACTGGAGGAAATCTGAGTATATTTTTCAGACCTACTATCAGGTTCCAGTGCCTACACATGCAATGCATATGTACATTATCAAGGGCTTCGAATTGTGCAGTGGTCTAGAGCATTTGCTTTTGGAGTCCCGAAGTAAGGAGCTAATTTAAATTCCAAGTCGTAGGTTCAAATCCAAATGCGGGACAATGAGACCAGTCCTTCGAATGAGACCGTAAAAACTTAGGTCTAATGTCGCAGTAGATGTTGGCATGAAAAAGGTCCCTCGCCATTAATGGCTAAAAGTGTCGAGTACAAGATTAAATTTTGAGCCCTTCACCGGGCTAATATTGTTCAACAATTCTCAAAGGAATTTAAAGCAAAGGGACAACCAATCTTCAGGGCCCTAATTAAAGAAAAAATGCACTGAACGTCTCAAGAAGCTGTATCATGATTTCAAAACTATTTGGAAAGAGTAAATAACATTTGATGGAACAGAACCATATCTAAAAATGATAAAAATGTCATACACAATGTCAAAGTCACGAAGTTTAAGCCATGAATTAAAGACATGAAAGAAAGGAACGTGTGAATTCTATTCATCAGTATATTAAATATGCAGCCATATTAACAACAACTCCTATGGTCCCATATAGTACACATAGGAGAATAGATGAATTAGATCAAAACTCAAATTAAATAAAATGCAGTGATATTGATTGATATGTTCACGGGGAAGGCGGGCCTTACAGTGTATCATGGATACTAAGTACCTTAATTTTAAGGACATTGGCAAGTCACGGTAATCCGGAGAAAAAAGGTTTAGATCATGGGTTTTTTCACTTATAAAGCGGTCAATTAGAGTAATCTGCCCCTAGTAAAATTATTCATGAGTGATCTTCCGTTTTAGAACTCTCTAAACTGTGAAAATCAGAAAAGAGTATGTTACTTAGGAAAACATGAAGCGAGCGAGATCGTCCTCAACAGGTAGATTTGTTTCAACAGCAAGAAAGAAAAGTAACGACGACTTTATTGAACGCTGTGTCCAGGGGAGAGACAATCAGCATATCAATGTTGATCACAGTTATGCTGGTAAGCGCAATGATGTTGAAACATGTAATGATAGTGCAGGACGTGTGCCTGAAACACCAGACTGTGCCTCGTCAATTAACTTTTCTGCTTCCCGTGACGGACACATTTTTAGCAGTGATGAAGATGTAGATCAAAACAAAGACAGTTCGACAGTGATTAGTTGGAGACAAGGTAGAAGAATAGTCGAACTGGGATTCTTAGTTGATAAACTGTTAGAGGGTTGTTCTGTCTGTCATTCCAAATTTCCAATGAATATCACAGATATTGTGAATGAGAGACGATATGGGTTAGGCTCTCTTTTATACATAAGGTGTACATTGTGTGATGGCGTAAACATTGTACCAACAGGAAAAAGACATGGGATGAATGAGTCTTCAAGTGGAAAAAGAGTTTGGGATGTAAACACCAAGTTAGCTTTAGGTAAAAGTTATTAAAGCTTTGTTTTATGATATGATATGTCTAAATAATACAATGAAAAGTTAAATTGCTTTTTAAATCACTTATAATTTATCATTTATGTCAACTAATAAATTGATCTACAAACATACTATTTGACTAAAAATGCATTAGGAAATCATGACATAAAAACATGACTCATATAAACTGTGTTTGATTAAGGTATTTTACACAGTGGCATTGGTGAAAGGAAGATGTCGAATTTATTATCTACACTTAATATTCCCCCCTGTTCAAAAACGACTCTAAAGGAGAGAGAGAGAGAGAGAAATAGGATGTGCAGTTGAAAATGTTGCCCAGACTAGCTGTTCAGCTGCTGCAGCAAAGGAAAAAGAAATGACAGGGTAATTAATAATATATACATGTTTAGCTTCAAAAATATGCAGATGAATATATGGATCAATGAGTGTATTAAAATTTTCTTTCCTTGTCATGGTATATGTAAATAACATGCAGACAAAGTATTAGCTGCAGAACTGTAGCGTTATGTTTTATATTTTAGTCTTTGACCATAACGCTACAGATCCCATGATGCAAATATGGTGCAATTTATGGCGCATGATTATCTGCGCACAGTTGGGAATGTTTTTCTCCACTTTCCAACATGGTCAATCAACTACCTTTCATTCCTTAATTATAGACATTTTACCAACCTGTATATTGTATCCACCTCCTAACCTTTATAGTCATTTCTGCAGTCCAATAAACTCACTTGTTTTGAATTTTCTTTGTATGGCTCAAAATTCATAACAAGTGATTTTAATGGCCTGTAGAGATGAATATAAAGGGTTAGGAGGTGGATTAAATAAACAGGTTGGGAATAGAATATTCTTAGAACTAGAGAATGAAAGGTAGTTGATTGACCAATGATGGAAATTCGACAAATACATGTACATCCACAAACCATGCACAGAAAATCATGTGCCGTAAATTGCACCATATTTGCATTACGGGATATATAGCATTATGGTCAAAGACAAAAATATAAAACCATAATGCTAAGAGTTCTGCAGGTAACAAAGTATCACATAGATCTCTGAAACATCAAATTCTATCAAATGAAATAAATAATAACATTAGGCTTCATGACATACATATTTATTCATACTTTAGAGACAGTTCAGAGGGATTATCTGTGTCATTTGATGGTGGTGGATGGCAAAAGAGGGGATCAGGGAGGTCATATAGTAGCTTATCTGGTAAGTACTAGATATAAGATTCAATTCAGTTTCCACACAGCAGGAATTATAATGGAATCATATAAATAAAAAATAAAATTGTTTCTGTGTACATTTTATTTCTTGAACATATATCCAAATTAATTTTTTTCTTACACTGCAATGCAAGTTTTGTGCTTATTTGAGCCCCTCTTTTTTTAGGACATGCAACATTTATTGGCAACAAGTCCGGAAAATGTATAGCATTTTCAACACGCAACAAGTTTTGTAGGACATGTGAGGTTGGGAAAAGGAGGGAATGTGATTCAGCTAAACATGACTGTAGACAGAATTGGAAAGGAAGTTCGAAGGCAATGGAATCCGATATGTGTGTCAACATGCTTCGGGAATTAGACAAACAGGATGTCTCCATAGATACCATCATTATGGACAACGATTCCACCACAATTGCAAGAGCCAGAAGTGAGGTGAAACCAGATCTGAAAAAAATGTGTGACAAGAACCATACACTAAAAGAATTCACAAACCAACTGTATGATCTGAAAAAAGTCAAGAATGTTCGAGAACTCACTGCCAAAACCATTGGACATCTATCTAAATGCTTCAAGTATTGTGTGTCTCAGCATCAGGGAAATGGGGAAAAAATGAAGAAAAACTTGTTGGCGATAGGGAAACATATCTTCGGTGACCATTCCTTTTGTGACTCTTGGTGTGGATATTTACGATCTCCATTAACCTATAAACCAAAAAACTTGCCATACAATAGATACCTCACTGATGTAAATTTGAAAACCAGCATTATGACTTTATTGCAGAAATACATAGATAAAGCAGAAAAGCTGTCATCCCTGGGAAGTTCACAGGCCAATGAAAGTCTAAACAACACTATATCCAGTAAAGTTCCAAAGGCCCATTTTTACTCAGGTTCAGAAAGTAACGACTTTCGAATTGCAGCTGCAGTGGCACAAAAGAACTTAGGATATGGATATGTATCAGAGGTAAACATTTCTAGTTATGACATAATTTTTATGATATAAAAATTCTGTATAATGTGTTTAATATATGTTATGGAGAATAAGATTTATTTATATTTTTAAAAATGTTTTTGAATTGAAAATTTACCAAGAAATAACAATTTGCAGGTTTGTGAGTCTGTTCTTTTATCCCCTGGTGAAGTAACCAAAAAGGTTTCCCAAGAGAATGACAGGAAAAGAGATATGGGAAATGAAAGAGAAAAAACATTGAAATATAAACGAAATAGACGAATAAAAAAGGAGGAACGGAGTACCAAACAGAAAACCTGCGAACTACGTGAGGGTGAAACATACAATACTGCAGTTGATTTGAACCACAATAATCATGACATCATTGAAATTCCACACCCACTTACTGAACCAACCTGCCAAAAATTGACAAGTGCAGATTATTCCTATGTTTCTTTTGATCTGGAAACAACTGGACTTGGTAGGTACATATATGGGTCAGTGTACTAGAAATTGATTTTCTCATATTCTTACATTTACTTTGCCTAAACTGTACAAGTACATTGTATATAAAAATGCTTATTTTTAGTTTGATCCATTTTATATAAGTATTTGCATGTATAATAATACTTTTACATGTTTTTTCTTTCATTGTATTCTGTAGGTAAAGACTGTGATATCACACAGATTGGTGCTGCATTTGAGGGACAAATTTTTAGCCAGTATATTTTGCCTTCTAAACCCATTTCACCTGCTGCAACTGCTGTGACAGGATTAGCTGTTTCAGGAGGGAGTATGTATAAAGAAGGATATCACGTTCCATCAACATCTACAGAAGAAGGAATACAAAACTTCCTAGACTGGCTGTCTAAAATTCCACAACCTGTCTTGATGGCCCACAATGCTCGTTTTGATGCTTGTATTTTCTGCCGTATATTATTAGAAACAGAAAAGAGTATTCCTGCTTCAAAATTGATTTGTGGATTTGTGGACACACTTCCATTGTTTAGGAAACAGTTACCAGAACGCACTTCATACAAGCAGGTCGATCTCATAAAGGATCTTCTTCATGAAGACTACAGTGCCCATGATGCTGCATCTGATTCAAGAGCACTTTTACATCTCGTAAAAGCACAGAAGTTCAACAATCATATCTTACAAGAAAACAGTTTTTCCTTCCAATCATACATGGAAGTCATACAATTTCAGAATACTGTGCAAGACAATACCAATTCATTGTCATATCTACTGGAAAATAAAATTATTTCCAAGGTGATTGCAAATAAGATTTCCAAATCTGGTCTTGGGTTGGCCCATCTTCAGTTGGCATATGATAGAGACAGAGATTGTGGTATCCATCAAGTGCTTTCAGAGACAACTTCCACTGGGAAACCAAGAGTAACAGTAAACAAAACTATTATTAAAAATATCTGCCAGTATTTTCATGACAAACATGTTTCATACTCAAATGAATGATACAATACAGACAGTCAAACAGTTTTTTATTTCTTCTTTTATTATAATGGATGCTAAGGGAAGTAACTCAAATAGAAATAACAGTGCTGGTATGTCTGTCTTCTAGCTTATATTTGCATTTTCAGCCAAAATACCCAAATGCCATAAGATATAGGAATACAATAATGTATATATAATATGAACAGAATGAAATATATGGGTTTTGTAAAAATCCTATGGTTAAAAATTTTGCAAGTTCATTTTATGAACTTTTTACATAGAAAATGCATTGACAATTCAAAAAACATTTATTTTACAAAATCTTAAAAATAAGGGTGGATTGGTAGGTAAAAAGTGCCAGAATAAAAGATGTTGGGTACCATTACAGCTTCAGAAGATTTTTCAACAAATTCTATACAGAATCCAGGAACCTTGCCAATGTCCTTAAAAGAGGGGTTAGTAAATACCACAGAAACAATCGTAATTAGTCGTGATATATTTTATTCACAAAATAGGATTCTAATAAGTAAATAACTAAAGGCATAAGGTTGATATGTCACTGTTATTTATAACTCGAACTAACCCTCTTTGACCACGTGTTGTGGGTGTCATTTTGTTTCCAACAAACGCTTGAAAATCACAGTTAACAAAATCCGCCGTTCAGATAAAAACGGATTTTGATGAAATTGTATTTTCATTGATAACATCAAAAAAAAAAAAAAAAAAATACTGCAATTATCTTATTAAAAAAAACTCTTCAGTCGGCGCGATTTAATTGGATCGGTCTCGTTAGGGGAAACAAAGGTATTATTTATTCTGGCCTTAATATATATATTGACTGCAAAGACAGATTTCCGAAATAAATAATACGTCAAAATGTTAGATAAGAAATAGATAGTCCATTTTCAATTACCTAGAAAATAAATAATATGCAGCCATGCATGTCCTCAAAAACTTTGAAAATGAATAATTTGCCCATACCAGGTTCTAACCCCCCCCCCCCCCCCCCTTTTTGTTTCCTTGTCAAACCCAAACTTTTTTTTAATCTAAGATCTAGAAGAAAAGATAACTGCACATGAAATTTTGTTAATCTGCTGATTAAAACTGGTTCATTGTTGTAGACTTACTGTTTAAGACAGCAAACTGTTGATACACGTGTGAATGTAGGCAGATATGGACTAACGGGATTAGATACGGTTCAATATACACAGCTTAAGTTTTTACCTGTGCACGTGTGATGACAATACTTGACCAAAATTTTCAAATGTTTTAGAGTAAATAATGAAAGCATAGAAAGACGTCAGTCTAGATAACTAACAGACTAAGCATTTTAAAAAAAAAAAAAAAAAAAAAAAAAAAAAAAAAAAGATTAAACTGGGCTTTATGTGTAAATTCCAGGTAACATATTTTACCTGCAGGTTTCATTGAATAAATTCTGACATATATCCAGATTTGTTTTTGATTATGTGTATTAAACTGAAAATTCCATGCGAAAATGTGGCGATCGAACTTTTTGACAGTATGTTATATTGGAGATAACATCTTGGGTTGGTCGGAAGAGTGTAAACCAACACATTATTTATAATTATATACATCGCTTTTATTTATATGTTTCTTTTTTCTAGTTGAGAGGCGTTTACATTTCAACATGTCCGCTTTCAAATTGTCAATTTAGTTCGTTTTTTCTGTTGCTAAATCTGTAATCATTTCTCCCTAAAACTATTACTTACATGAATAAAAATGATTTTAAGGGCTTGATTTCGGAAAAAAGCACAGAATCCTAATACATTTTTCAATGTGTCTTGGTTTCCGAGAAGGTTCATAGAGACAAGAATACGGTAGATAAAAGCTCTAGAAATAAACGATAAAGTATTTAATTCACTTTTATTTATTATAAATTGTACACGAAAATATTACGATGCTGCATTTAATATGAAAAAAAAAGTTAGTCAAGCACAACCCGATTATGCATATCGAATAAGGAATCGTCTCACACTCTGTCGAGTTGTTTTAAAGTCGTAACTAATTTTGAGCAGTTTCCTTATATTAATATATGTAAGTCCAGATGCATGGTACTTAATCATAATATTTTGAATCTCTAGGATTATTTTCCGTCCTTCTTTAACGGGCGCTGCGTCGAAAGAAATAAAAGCAAATTACTTACTGTATTTGGTCATTGCAAGATTCGGAATGCTTTCGGGGCATGGCTTGCATAATTATTTCAAAAATTATTCATGAACGGTACGGATGGCTTTGTGCACGGTACGGTACGCTTCCTGCACGGAACGGTTCGTTTTGTGTATGGTACGGTTGGCTTTGTTTCACGGTACGGTAAGCTTCTTGCACGGTACGGTTCATTTTGTGTACAATATGGTTCACAGTACGCTTCTTGCACGGTACGGTACGGTTCGTTTCTGAGGTGTTGTAGCACGATTTAGGGTCTGTAATATGGCTAACTATACCACTTAAGAAGATAATTATATATTCCAATGTAAAACTGTGATACCCTATTTTAGCCCCACCCCATTCTTAGGGGTCATTATTTTTAACAAATCTGATTCTACTCTATGTAAGGAAGCTTCCAAGTAATTTTAATTTCTTCTAGCCCAGTGGTTCATGAAATAATTTTTTTTTAGAAACCCATCCAATTTATGTCTTCTCATGATTATCTCCCTTTTAAGGAGGACATAGCCATTCATTTGAATACTGTAAATGAACTATTGTGAGAAATATCCTTGAGTTTTGTGACCTACTTTTATTATTATTTAACTCGTGAAAATTAATCACTGTGAACAATTGGTTTTGCTTTGTATTTGAAGAGAATGTTTCATCAGTCATGAAAATTAATCAGGCCAAACAAAAAAATATGTGTGGTTCCGGTTACACTTCCAAAAAAATTAGGGTAGGTAGGTAGGGTTTTGTTGTTTTTTTTTAAGTGATTTTCTTAATTTTTTCTAAATAATACCTATCACTGCTTTGCAAATGGCATTTAGATGTGGTGTGATAATATACTAGTCAATATTGGTAGGGGACACCTACATGCTAGCTTGCTTTGGATTTAACACTATTAAACACTTGCACTATGTTTTGCAAGGAGGCCGTCATTGCTGAAACTAAAACTTAAACTGGATCCATTGATGGAAATTGGGGGAAATTCCGGAAAAAATATGAAAATTGCCAAAAAAAAGTTTAGGGTCAGGGGTATAAAATAGGGAAGGTCGGGTAACCGGAACCACACATATTTTTTTATTTGGCCTCATCACGGATTGATTTCTAACTGATGAATAAAAGATGACACGAATATTAGTTGGTTTACAGTACATTTGAATCCTTTTCATCTAAGGATGCTTTGTGTTATGTTTCGTTGAAATTGGCCATGTGTTTCTTGAGAAGAAGTCAAAAATGTTAAAATTTATCAGATGGACAGCTATACAAACAGATGATTAGAAATGCTCACTTAAACTTTGGTTCAGATTCGCAAAAATCAAAAGACATTTGGAAAGATCTTGTTGCAGGTAATGCACCTGTGAAAAAAAAGAATTAAGCCCCATCTCTTATGGTGAAAAGGCTAAAATAAGAATAGAATTTTTTGGAAAGTAGGTCAAACTTGTAGATTGAGGTCATGAGGTCAAAATTCATAGACCATTCACAAAGGTCTTGTTAAAGTATTGTACATGTGAAATATTAAAGCCCTATTTTCTCTCATTCAAAAGTTATGATCAATTTTGCTTTCTGTTTTGTAACGAATAAAGAGATTGATAGATGAATGAAATTTTATATCTTGAGCTAACGTAAGTGAAGGACAAAAATAGAACAGAATATGCACCAAAAAAAATACATAAAAGGTTTGCATACAAAATTCTTATCAAAACTGCTAATCTCATTTGTATCAGTATACAGCAAATTTAGACAGAAATGCAGCTGTTCATAAAACAAATTATTTTAAAGCTTACTTTTTTCTTCAATTCAGATGCCAGCCTCAGGATAACCTCCCCTGTCTCATCTATAATGGTCACCTTCTTTCTGTAAAATCTGTTGCTCCTCCCAATTTGTGTGTTTTCATTGTTGTACAATGGCTCTGATTTTTCAGTCTTTTTCAAAATGGCTAAAATATCTGTAGTACAGAGATTTTGAACATCAGTTAAAAATATTTAGTTGTTCTGAATATTCAGAACTCATTGCTTTTCATATTACATGTACATGTACCAACAATGGTATTGTAAAGTTAGATTTCTTTTGCTGCAATACATGTATATGCATGAACATGAATAAGCACTCATCAATCTGGCCTATCAATAGTGCTTTCATTACACATTTTTATACCTACATGTATACAGATTTTTATGAGGGAAATAGTAAATTCATGGTTCTCACAGGGAGAAAAATTTTTCCCTAGGCAGCGAAGTTGACGAAGGAAATAGTTTCCTGCCAAGGAGAACCATAAATTTGCTATTTTCTGAGTACCCATTCCATAAGTGTTAATTATTTCAAAGCAGTCTAAGGATCTATTTATTTAAAAAGATGATCAGGCATTTTTTTTTTTTTAGAGAATACAGAGGCATTCAGATATAAGCATTTGAAAAGTTCACTGTAGCTTTTTTATCAGCTATGAGCAGAATACATTCTTACATGTAAGTCCTGTCCAAAAGTATTTGGCAAAGATTGGAAATTAGAAACTGAGAGGGTAGTTGCATGCTTGGATGTAGTTTATACAGTCAGGGGCATAACACAAACAGGTTTACGTTATTAGAAAAATAACTTACAGACCCTGAAACGTGCTACTACACCACACGCATGCTGCACGAACGGTACACGCTCGCAACACGGTTTGCACGAAACGCTGCACGGTTTACACGAAACACTACACGCTTTGCACGAAACGCTACACGGTTTACATGAAACGCTTTGCACGAAAGGCTGCACGGTTTACACGAAAGCCTGCACGAAACGCTTTGTACATGTTTCTCACATGCTTTGTACACGATTCTCGCACGTTTTGGCCTCGATCTGGATTTTCTATTCGGAATCTCTCGGACTTTATTAAAATTAAATAAATTACGGATTAATCAAAGATTAGTTAAGAATTGCAATCATTCAGATTAAGTTAGGATTAGAACTCGCTACACCAGTACTATATTAACAGACAAAATACACAATGTTAAGTTGTATTTAATTAATAGTTGTCATTGAGTATGTGAAGTGCCCCGTGAAATGTCCATCATCGTCTATGTATACAAAACTTTTTCACTAGACTCTAAATTACGCACTGAAAAAACTATTGTATATGTAATTCATAATATTTTACAGCATTTAATGATTTTTTACAATTATAGTTTGATATTAAGAAGTCGTTTTATTTTTTTTACTTATTGATTGATTCATTTTTTTTTTATTATTTAATAAATAAATACTTTCATTTGATTGAATTAGGCTCTGTTTATAATTTGCAAAGGTAGTATGTACACTAAATCAAATAAGAACATTGTGCAGGATGGGGGAGGGGGGGGTAGATTACCGAGATCTTACTTCTGTTCATGTCTAAATATAATGGGCACTTGTTTCAGTAAATATACCATTGGGAAAAATTATTATAGAAACAAATGCCCGTTCTAAGAAAAAAAAAGGATATCCATATTTCCAGGGGGACCAGATACATTTAATTCATTAAATGCACTTTAATGAGAATGGTAAATATATCGCTTCATTACAGAATCAAACTTTGACTTACATGTATCATTAAAATTTAATACGGTAGAAAGCTGGGGGAATAGGTATTGTAATGCTTTAGTTCTCCATTTTAAGGCATTGTGTTTATCAAATAAAAACAATATATCCACCACCTTGTAAAATCCTTGATTTCAAATCCCGTCTAGACAAAAAAAAAAATGTAATCAATAGTCGCAGCTCTTAACAATACATTAAATTTACATGAATACATGTCGTGTCCTATAAACTAAAAAAAAATATGCTCTAGAACTGCGTGATTAATAAAACAACTAATATATAATTATTCAGGATTTTTTTCTTTATATTTTATTATTCAAGAATACACTGGCAACTTAATTCACTGTTTATAGAGAATCGGATAAATTTAAGAAATAAAATCCATGGGTATTTATTTTTACTCATTAAATACTAATAAAACCATTAAATTTCACGAATTAAAAATCAATCGTTATTGTCAGGTGTCATCATAGAAGTGATTGACGATTGACAAGAGAAGATATAATACATGTAGCAGAACAAGTTTTCAGTTTCCGGCACGCAGAGCCCGTGATCACTGTTGGAAATGACCTTGATCACAGTCGTAAGAAGAGTGTCAGAAGTGTAAAGATTCCAATACATTTTTAAGGGGTGCATCAGGTGCACCCCGAAAAAAAAAACATTTTCTTTAAAAAGAAAATTATCTATAAAAACTTGTTAATAACAAAAACTCAAAGTTTGTGTTTACATTTTAACACCCCCCTCCCCCCCCCCCCCCCCCCCCCCGGAAATATTTAACCTTGTACATGTATTTACTGATCCAGTGAATTATGATTCATTTATAAGACAATTATTAATCAACCAATTTTATGCATAAAAAGACTACAAATGACTCATCGTTTGAAAATTATTTGTATCACAATCTTGTAATATAAGAAAATTATGTTCGTTTATAAAGAAAAAAACTAATTGTGCTCCCCGGCCTAGAATTCCCATACTTCACATTTATAGCAACGCACTAAACTTTGTATTTTATATTTCACACCTGACTTATCTATTTATTATTTTGCATTAATCACCCATATGTTTTTGTAATCTCTATATACCACAACCGTAAAATGGTGAAGAGATTCAAATAAATGAATGAAAAGGACAAGACGGGATTATTGATGATTTTTTTTATACAATGTTCAGTATTGCTCCCTTAAAAACAAGAGGCCCATGGGCCACATCGCTCACCTGAGCACATTGGCTAGGAAAAAAAAGCAAAAATCAGTTCAGTATTGAAAAGTTTGGGGGGGGGGGGGGGTAGCTGAATTTTGAACTACCTGATGATGCTTTCATATCAATATAACAAATGGCTTTGCTGTTCTTGAGCACAATATTTTTTCCCATATATTCATTTGTAAAAATTTGATCCCCCTTTGTGGCCCCACCCTACCCTCGGGGGCCCTCATTTGAACAAATTTCATTTTACACTACCACAGGATGCCTCCATATCAATTTGACTAATCATGGCTTTTCTGTTCTTGAGAAAAAGATTTTTTCTATATATTCCTCTGTAAACTTTGATCACCGATTGTGGCCCCACCCTACCCCCGGGGGTCATGATTTGAACAAACTTGAATCTACACTACCTGAGGACATTTTCATATAAATATGACCAATCAGTGCTTTGCTGTTCTTAAGAAGAAGATTTTTAAAGATATTTTCCTATATATTTCTATGTAAAACTTTGATTCCCCATTGTGGCCCCACCCTACCCCTGGGGGTCATGATTTGAACAAATTTGAATCTACACTTCCATATAAATATGACCAATCAGGGCTTTGCTGTTCTTAAGAAGAAGATTTTTTAAAGATATTTTCCTATATATTTCTATGTAAAACTTTGATTCCCCATTATGGCCCCACCCTACCCCCGGGGGTCATGATTTGAACAAATTTGAATCAACACTACCTGGGGATGCTTCCATATAAATATGACCAATCATGGCTTTGCTGTTCTTAAGAAGAAGATTTTTAAAGATATTTTCCTATATATTTCTATGTAAAACTTTGATCCCCCATTGTGGCCCCACCCTACCCCCGGGAGTCATGATTTGAACAAACTTGAATCTACACTACCTGAGGATGTTTCCACATAAGTTTCATCTCTCCTGGCCCAGTGGTTCTTGAGAAGAAGATTTTTAAATGATACCATTATTTTTTCACTAATTCACATTATCTCCCCTTGAAAGAGGGCGTGGCCCTTCAATTGAACAAACTTGAATCCCCTTTACCCAAGGATGCTTTGTGGCAAGTTTGGTTGAATTTGGCCCAGTGGTTCTTGAGAAGAAGTCAAAAATGTGAAAAGTTTACAGACAGACAGACAGACGGACAGACAGACGGACGCCGGACAAAATGTGATCAGAAAAGCTCACTTGAGCCTTCGGCTCAGGTGAGCTAAAAATGTATCGAATCAAATTATTTAAAATTGATGTGCGTATATTTAATTTCTTTGAACATATTTTCTTTCCTTCTTTATTTATATAAAAAAAAAGAAAGAAAATCAAACAAATATGTATACATAACCGCGTAATTTTATTTTGTTGTTTCCGTAGTTTTTTTTTCTCTTAAAATACCACCGGTATCATATATATTCGAATAATATTAGTTACAAACAACACAAAATGACATGTTGATCCATCAATAGCCATATTTAAAATAAAATGAGTTCCGAATGAATCCTACACGTTTCTCACACGATTCTTGCACGAAAGTCGCACGTTTCTCACACGGTTCTTACACGAAAGTCGCACGTTTCTCACACACTCACTACACGGTTTGCACGAAACGCTTTGGAGCTTACACGAAATGCTGCACGGTTTACACGAAACGCTACACGGTTTGCACGAAACACTGCACGGTTTACACGAAACACTACACGGTTTGCACGAAACGAAAAGCGCACAAAAGTCACACGCTTTTTTGGGGTAGTAGCACGTTTCAGGGTCTGTACATAAGTTATTTAACAGACACAGAATTTTTTTTTTAATGATAACTTAAACTAGATGCTGTCATGAGACAGTAATACCCGCACTAATGTGTTTGCCTCTAAATGCAGGCACTGGCATCAGGGGGGCCAAAGGGGGCCTCCCCCCCCCCCCCACTTTTTTCGAAACAAAACTTTTTACTATTGAAAATGTTCATGAACAGGTGGTTCCCCCCACTTTTTGTTGCATTATAGTCAAATAAAGGTATGTAGTATTGTATATATTCATGTAAAATTGGAGTACTAAAAGAAGTTGGAATCCATTCCAACCCCCCAACCCCACTCCACGAAATAGGATTTTTGAGTTTTGAAAAAAAAAATTGGGGGGGGGGTTGTCAAATTTTTTCAGGTAAGTTGGTATTTTTTTCTCTGGCTACC